AGTCGTGTGGTCGCGTCGCGGTCACAAAATAAACCTTTTAATGGCCTAATGATTTAGCTTACCCCTAAAGGTGGCTTCTTGCTATTTCCAGCTGTCTATGGCTGGTTAAGACGGTACGCTGTAATTTTTTCGGATCTGTTAGATAGATAGCCAGATGGGTCTCACGGTTTTCTGTATATTCTGAGTCATCATCTGCGTTCCGTGCTGGTCCTTCCAAGAGTGTAATTTCGACCGCGAGAAATCGAGCCGATATTGCGTTTTTGTAAAGATTCTTTGGGTAGATAATAATATACGGTAGGAGCGGTGTATAAAAAGTGCCCCAGCTAGCCCGGTCAGTCTAGTTTGGCAGTTATCCGGATTTTTGAGCTTTTTTGAAGGGGTTGCACCAAGCGATATCTAGTCAGTAATTATACAGTCATTTTCTACCAATTTTTGCCTAGAAATGAATGATAAGGTATATCAAAAATTATTCTAAAATTAAGATTAAAATCCACAAAATAGAAATTATAACAAGTTTCTATGCCTATTTTTATTCATCCAAGCCTCGTGCCTCATTTCAAGCTCAAAAAATTCTTATCGGCACTCTCCAAAAGCATATCTTTCTTGTCCCTGGACTCGTCCCAACACTGTAAACAACAACTAGAGAACCCCCGCCAGATTGCAGCGAGGCAAGTCAGTCCCGAAAAGAATGCGTCGATAGGCGGGCCGTTGGCTAGATGGCTGTAATGTGGCCCCGGCTTGCCCAGGCCCAGCTGTCTATCCATCCCTGTTACCCGCAAAAACAAAAATTGCCATGTTGCCGGGCAATTTTCCGTCGCGATTATCGGGCGATTATCGAGCTCATCAAATTTTTTCTAAACGTTCTTATCCAATTTTGCGTAGTGGAGCGCTTCATAGTGCTGGCAGCATTATTTGAGCGGCTTTATCGATTTCTCACATTAATTAAACGTTCTAAGCTTTGTTATGAGGTCTGTAAAGATAGGATATGCGTTTTCTAGAAATTTTTGCCAAATTTAATGCACTGCTACTTCGAAAACTCTCTAGATTTGTCTCATGGTGGGAAACACAGAAATTTAAGATGTTTTTAGGTGATTTTTCTAGTTTTGGTGCGGAATACTGGACCTTGTTCTAACAAAACTCACGAAAACATTTGCACCTATTGCCCTACTCAAAATTCTCCATTCTCTTCTCATATTGGTTTTCTGCCCTTGACTGCAAACAAACAGCCTGGGAATTCCTGGCAATTCGAGGTGGAAAGACCCCGGTGAAATGCCAAAGCGACGCTTCCACATCGTTCGTTGTGAGGCGCCGTGCTTACTTATTTCCAGTACATTTTTTACATAGCTGTCGAAGTTTTTTTCCGACCTGCAATCTCTCTCTAATTCTTTAAATTACGTTAGAAAAATCGTTGGACTCATTTTCTCACAATCTCGGATAGCCAGCACAACCTCACGTTGTCCAAATCCTAGAAATGCTATTTTACCAAGGTATCGGCCCGAGATTTCCAAAGATTCACGTGCGATGCCTGAGTTTCTGGTTGTTTTGAAATGCCGACCCTCTCATTCGACCCTCTGACTCAACACCCTCCATTTGAACGGTGTGTCGAGGCGTCGCTGACCCTCCTAAATAGCACCCCGGCCCCTTATGGATCGGATACGGTAGTTTTCGGACATTCAAATTGAGGTTTTCTGCCTCTCTCTCTCTCTCTCTCTCTCTCTGTCGCTTTCTCTCTCTCTCTCGCTCTCGTTGTTTTCTGCAGTTTTTCTTAATTTAAGTACTCATATTTTACAGTAAGATGGCCATCACCGCCCAACAAATCATCGAGATCATCCTCTGCATCCTGTTGCCGGTAATTTTTACCTACTTGTTACTGATAGCTTCGAATTTCAAAGACGTCGGTGCGTAAAATAAGCGCTGAAAAGCCGAAGTCAAGATGAATTAAAAATTAAAACCCGATTTTTTTTAGCCGCTGGCCGTGTTCATGCACGCCAACGAGTGCAACGTCCACGTGCTGATCAGCGCGGTGCTCATGCTCCTCGGCTACTTCCTGTCGCCCCTCCACGCCATCTGGTTCGTTTTAAAGGGAATAGGAAGCGGAATAGCGTTCATACGCAGGCAGACTGGCAGAGATCATTAAGGAAAACTGCAAAGATTATGTAAAAACCTAAGAAAAAATTCCACTTACAACCTTCCCCTTCAAAAATGTTCAATTAAATCCAGACAGCCCTGAAAATCAAATGCAAATTTTAGGGCAAGCTAGCAGAGATTCTTAGGGATTTTCTGGACATTAAAACTGAATTTCTAGAAAACTTAAAACTGAAAACTGATGTTTTGAATATATCTTTAAAAATGGCTTTTTAGCGACAAAAACATGCATATTTTCCCATTTTCAGGTACTGCTTCTTCCGCACCTAAACGACCTTCCCTTCCCGAGCTTAAACACCATTCCAACGGACATTAATTTAACTTTTCCGACGGCTTTATGCATTTATTCACTGCCTCATTGGGTGCCCCCATTCCTTTAAGATTGCAATTTGAATAAATATTATTTTTTTGAGACCTCAGCTATTTTTGTACGATGTTAAAAGCATCGAAATATCGTTAAAATTTCCATGGTTTGACTCCTATTATTATTTAGTATTGTTGTTTATCATTCTTAATGGCTCTCTCAATTTTAAGAAACTAATATTTTCTGGATTTACCGTGTAGACATTAGTCTTAAAAAGTTCAGGTATACCGTAAAGTTCACTATTTCACGGCCTGTTTTTCCTACCCACTCCCAACCTCATTACAAATCTACACCCCGGTTTCTCCAGCACTTTTCCGTTTTTCATCTCATTTCTGTCCCAACCAAACGACGATCCGCATCGTGAAAAACATATTGATTCCGACACCTTCCACCCTCCGTTCTTTGCCCCGCCCCCCAATCACCCCTACCCTCTACCCGCCCCACCCAGACCACACTCGAAAACAAACAAAAATTTGGCTCAATGCGGCGCGGTGGGGAGACTTGCACGAAGTTTGGACATTGTCTATCTCTCTCGCGCTCCCACTCTCTTTCGCTTGCTCCCTCTCTCTCTCTCTCTCTCTGCTTGTTTTCGCCATTGATAATTTTGAAATTTCTTTTTGAAATTTGACGAATTTCTTGGTTCCACCTTGTTTTTTTTGGATCACTGGAAAAACTACCTATTTCAGGTATTTTCTATTACGCTTTTTCGGATCCCTATGAACTGAAAAATTTTTTCAAGGTATCGGGGGAGCGCAAAAACATTTTACAGCACTAAATACCGTTACGATAACCCAAACATTTTCTTTAATTTCCGACGTAGACTTAGTCCTATGGAAAAAATTAATGAATGAACTTTTCGATCCCGTCAAACCGCAGCATTAATATATTTTAATTTTTTTTGAATTTAGATAGTTCCTTTAGCCACCTCTTAACAAATTTTTCGTGAGGTTGAAACTCTCGACAAACAACTAACTGAACGGTTTGCCTTCAAGAATTTTCCATTTTTTGCTGATTTTTGCGAAAAAATGCGCCTCCGCTCCCTCTCAATTCCAATGACGACCTTCTTGACTCACTCGTCTTCCTTTCTCACTCTTTCAACAGCATCGCCGGCCAATTTTCTGAAGTTGCAAAAATGAGTCAGGCCCGCGCGAGGGTTTCATGGGGTCCCCTATGCACTCGGTTGCTGAAAACGTTTCGCCACAAAACTTCGAAAACAACAAGCAAAATGGGATAGATAAGGTGATCTGCGGTTCTCTTTCCCTTGCTAGTATACGTTCCAAAAATCACCTTTATCTTATTAGGTCCTTTCATTCTTCATCACCATCTGATTTTAATGGGATTTTGAATGAATTATGGCCTGGATTATCGTAATTTTCTCTGCTTATGGCAAGACGTGTTAGTAAACTGAAAGGCTCTGGTTTTTCGGGAGTTTTTCTTATTACTCTAGATTATAGTAAACCTGTTTTCAAATTTTTTTCGACGGTTTCAATTTTCTCCGATTGGTTTTCTTGTCCTCCATGAGTTTCGTCAGCTTTTAATGGACTTTTTTGAGAAAAAATGGCCATCACTGCCCAGCAAATCATCGAGCTTATCCTCTGCATCTTCTTGCCGGTACGATTTTTTTAGCAATAAGCGGATTAATTTTTCTTGTATACGAGCGCCAAAGGTGGAGATCCTAAGCATTTTTTAGGCATTTAAAGAGGTATTTTACAAGTAATCAATGTTGTTTTTAGCCGCTCGCCGTCTTCCTCCACGGAAATGACTGCAACGCGCACGTGTTGATCAACATCGTGCTCTTCTGCCTCGGATACATTTTGGCCCCGATTCACGCCATCTGGTTAGTTTCTGCGAAATTGTGCCCGAGAGAGAGAAAGAGAGAGAGAGAGAGAGAGAGAGAGCGAGAGCGAGAGTGGGATAGAAAGAGATAAAGCGAGACAGAGTGAAAGAGAGAAATAGAGCGAGGTAGAGAGAGAGAGAGAGAGAGAGAGAGAGAGAGAGAGAGAGAGTGTGCGCGCGTACGAGAGACGGCGAGAGACTGAGAGAGCGTAAAAGCCGGGGAGAGCAAGAGAGAAGAGAGAGAGGGCGATGGAGCTAGCGAGAAAGAGAGAGAGAGAGCGAGAGAAAGAGAGAGATGCAGAAAAAAATGGACAGACAGAGATGACGACTCTATTTTTACCATTTCCAGGTACTGCTTCTTCCAATAGACGTCTACTACCACCGATTCGGCCTAACTACTTCCATTCCTATGGAGATTTTCAAAAACATCTAAATTTTACATTACCGACACTACTTCATAATGCCTTACCACTCTTGATCGCCTTCTGCCAGCATTTACCCCACCAAAAATTGCCTTACTACGCTCTTTTCGATCGAATAAATTGCTCACAATTAAAGGCGAATACAACCAGAAAGAATACAACCAGAAAGACCCATATAAATATTTATTCTCTACCAAATAAATACATTTTTTCAGCGATTTCCGTAGAAGTTAAGACGACATTGTCTAAATACAGGTTTTAATTAATTTTTATATGGCTTTATACCTTGTCGTTGGCTACTGAAGAGATAGTAGATGTCGAATTGGAGCCTGATTCCTCAGCATCGTCAGCTAGGAGATAATTCTCGTGGCCGGAGGATTTCCCGGTCGATTCCTTCGTTTTGAGCTTCTTGAACTTGGCGGCCATGTTAGTGTATCTAAATCGGAAAATTGGATACGATTTTTAATGCAATAAAATGGATTTCGAAGAGCCGAAATTCACTTTTTCAGATCCGGAAACTTTTAAAAACACAAAAAGCTTGATAATGCGCTGTGAAACTTTACATTTTTCTGGTTAAAAATTTGATTAATTTCTCGTTCTCTCTCTCTCTCTCTCTCTCTCTTTCTCTTTCTCTGTCGCTTGCTTTCTCTCCCTCTCTCTCTCTCTCTCTCTCTCTCTCGCTCTCTCTCTGTCGAAGCGCTTTATATTTTCCTAATTTTTCTACTTTAGACGCCTTGAAAAAGTCACTACTTATAAACTATATTAATCAGCTATCCATTAATTACCCCACCTTTTAAGAATTTTAGAAAGATTTAAGTGATGGCCTCGGTTTAAGAATGAAAATTTAAACAAATCAGTATCATGACTGTTTTAATGGTCCCTTCATTGCTATTTTTGTGTTTCTCGGAGCCTTCTCTCTGCCATAGTCTCGACCATCCTAACTGAGACAACCTAAAAAGCCAAGAGACACGCTCGCCTCCGCCGCGCCAAGATGTACACTTGCCGCGCTACACGCGCCAGGCTTGCCAAAACCGGCTTCACCCGATTCTCGCACCCGCATTCCCCTCATCTTGCCCTTCCACCCTCCGCCACACATGGCTGAGTGGTCTAGTGGTATGATTCTCGCTTAGGGTGCGAGAGGTCCCGGGTTCAATCCCCGGCTCAGCCCAGATCTTTTGCTTTTTGAGAACTATTTGTTCCGTTACGCTCCTATCTGATTCTCATAAGCTTCACGCAGCTTCTCGTGCTCCATGGCTGAGTGGTCTAGTGGTATGATTCTGGCTTAGGGTGCGAGAGGTCCCGGGTTCAATCCCCGGCTCAGCCCAGATCTTTTGCTTTTTGGGGAATCGGCTTTATAGAGCTCCAGAGGTCTAGAAAAGTGTATTTTAGACTCTAGGGTTTTATTAGCACGTATTTTGGCTTTTGAATAATTGCTTAGATGTATGGTCGAGTTTTACGGACTCCAGCACTAAAAAATCCTGCCAGTATTGTTCAGCTTTTTAAAAATTGTGGCCTATTAAGTGCTTTGAATTGCCAGAGGTATAGAAGAATGGTATTTACCTTTGAAATAAAGCTATTTGGGCATTATTTAATTTTTTTACTTACTTTAAGCAGCACGTGCTCGATCCGCATGGCACATATCCGGGCTGACAACTGCACGGGAAGGTGGTGCACGGGATTGATGGAGCGGGCTCCATACCATCTAAGAGATTAGCCAAACTAAGGATATATTAATGTAAGGCGTCTTTTATACACATCATTAACTTGTACTTTATCAAGCACCAAATAGGACAGATACGCTCAAACGGGGGAAAATGAAGCCAAAAAATCGGAAAGGGACAGTAATACTTATCGGAAATTTTGGATTGAAAGCGAGAGAGCGAACGAGCGAGAGAGGAAGAGCGAGAAGAGAGGGAGAGAGAGAAAAATGGAGAGAGAGAGCGAGAGAGAGAAAGAGAGGGAGAAAGAGAGAGGGGGATAGAGAGAGGGAAGCGAGACAGCAGCGAAAAGATGTGTTTCCAAGCCTCTCAAAACTCTAGAAAATATTTTAAAACCTACACAAGGTCAGAAAATAGATGATAGCATGTTCTTGAGCATGCAATAAATATAAATATCTAGCATTGAAAGTGATAGTCTAGCGAATTTTCGATGATATGTACGCAATACAGGAATACAGTACACCGTATAGATTGTGAAGTTGGGATTGCCGAAATTTGTGGGTAAGCGGAAATCGTTATTGAGTTAGACAGTTTTCTTCGATTCCGGGTCCTTCTTCTCTTCCTTGCGCTTCTTCAGCGAAATACCTCCGAGGACTGAAAGAGGACAGTTGATAGCAAAGAACCGCAGAAAAAAGTGGTTTTAAAAGACCTAGAAAGCGATAGAATAGCCCGTTTTTGAGTGGCTGGGTCTCGACAGCTACATGATACGCCCAAAGACGCTTATTTTGCCTTGTAGATTTTGTTGAAAAACTTTAGTTTTCCATGGGTCATAAAGCTTTAAGCTCACATGTCTTTAAACGTGTCGTAGCTCCTAACCGTCGAGACCTAGTCGATTAAAAGCGTTGATCTCTGTCGCTTCCTAGCACCTTTAAAGGGACAGTACACTCAAATAGCCCCAAAACAACGAGTAGCAAAATTGAAAAAGGACATCCGACGTTTTTTTACAACTTACGGTTCTGCGTGCAGCTAGGCAGACACATTGGCATACAGCTCTGCGCACAGGAGCCTTGTGTGGCGGGGATCGAGAGCTAAAGGGCATAGTTTGATCATGAAATGAGTAAAAGATTATAACGCATTAAAAATATATTTCTGGTATATTTTAATGACGAAACCAAACCGTATATCGGGCGATGCAGGCCGGGGCACAGACGGGCATGCACTCGGGGGCACAGGTCGCCTGCAGGAAAGAATAGAACGATTCGAAATTAAAGGTATGAATAGTAAAGAATTATATAGAAAACAAGAAAAATAAAGTACCCTTGCCCGGAAGATATTAGAATCTAATGGATTATATATATTTATTAAATTATCGGAATTAAACCCATTTTTGCTGAAACGAAAGCGGCAGGTTTTTGTCAAAATTATACAGCTTTGGAATGAAAAACGAAGCGCCCTTTCTACCGTATCCCCCATGCGAAAATTATCCATTTTCCGGCTTACATTAAGCACTACCAAGTCATAATCGGGACCCATCGTCACGGGCTCGATGGACTCGCCCAAGGCGTTGGTCACCACCGGAACGGGGTATTCCAGTGGACCCTTGAACATGAAGGTTCTTGGCGTTTTTTTTTAATTTTGGCGGTACTAAAGCAAGTTTTCCTTATTTTTTAATTACATAGCGTAATCTGTGAAACCCAGTCCGCGCGTGATTTTCGCTAAATTTCGCGCATAGCTTGGAAATCAAATGCATAAGAGGAGGAATTATGCTTGTAATTTTTGTATCTTTTTTGGCAACTTAAATTACGGAAGAGTATTGTATCTACTGAATTACGTGGCGTGATATGCTTAACCCAAAATCCATTCCAAAGGACAGTAACGTTACCTCGGAAATACAGGTGGCCCTACAGTCCGGCATGCACCGGTCGATGCAGACGGCCGGCGCGGCGGCTACTACTGGAGAGTGTTGGTAGGAGAATTGCTGGACGCAAATCGGGTTGCACGACGGCATACAAGGTTCGACGCACGTGGCCCGGATTGGCACCTGGAATACCCGGAAATGGCCTGCGGGGTTGAATGGACAGGCTTTACAGTTCGGGAGAGGATAAAATTCATGGAAGAAAAATCTGCGACGTGAAAAGGATGAATTTGCTCTCAAAATGCCAAACGACCTCTCGCGGTTGTCGGAAGTTCCTCAAGAATCGTTGCCAGCCTGCCCTTACCCTTCGAACAACAACTTCTATATTTTGCAGAAAATCCTAAAGAACCTCCGCTGCCATGCTCCAAGTTCCCCAAGTATCTTGGCTAGTATGCCATCTCCGAAAAAGCTCCGATAACCAACTGACGACAAAAGCGGCAGGAATTTGGTAAAAAAAAACGAAGGCACAGGACCTCGGTAAGACGAGCAATCAATTTAAGAAGCTCCTAAGGTATCTATTCCTCCTTACCGCATTAACGCAAGCCGACGTGCACATCGGCCTACACTGCTGCGGACACTGGCCGATCATCTGGACGCAGGTCCTCGAGCAGCTCGGCATACATGCCGAATCACAGGTGCTGGTGGGTACCTAAATAATTTAACTCAGATTTTAACAAGGTTGGCACCAATTTTTACATTCAGAACTCAATAAACAAAAAATAAGCAGCCAATAGATCCAATAAACTAAAAGAAATGATATCTTGTGCTGCAACCTTACCCACGGACGTCTCGGAAAGCTGGGAAACTAAAAGACACTCCTCCAAAAGTACAGAAAATACACAGCAGATGGTTAAGGACATAAGAAAATAAACTAGCTTCTGAATTGGCTTACCACGCTGATTTGTTGTAGACACTGCGGCAGACATCTTGGCATACACTCTGGGATACAGGTCAACTGGGTGCACGACGAAGGGCAATTGTTCGTGCAGGTACTGTAAAACGGCGTCTTCTAAAACCTGATATCCGAAATCTGACCTGCAAGTAACGGCTTGAACACACTGCGCGTTACAGCTTGGCATGCAAGGTTGTACGCAGGAGGTTGTCTGAAAAATAACGGTAAGCATATCGAAAACGTCATTTGGGTGAAAGAGCGAAAGAGAGAGAGAGAGAGAGAGAGAGAGTGACGGAGACGGATTTAAAAACACCACAAACCTTTATTTGCAGCGCCTGGACGCACTGTGGGGAGCACTGGGGCATACATGGCTGGATGCAGGTTTGTTCGGAGACTCGGATCTGAAAATGTAAGGTTACAGTATCAATGAAGCAAAATATGCATAAAAATATGGATTAAAATAGTACTACAATGGTAATATATCTTTAAATGCAGTACCTCCAAAGCTTCCACGCACTGTGGTCGGCAATCTGGCATGCAAGCTGCCAGACAAGTGGGTCGGGCCGATATCTAAAAAGATAAGAGATAGAGCTGGATCTATAATGTTTTAATCATGTTCTAACATTAAAAACAGTATTCAAGGTATCTGTAATGAAATCCAGTATCAAAGTCATGGAAGAAAACGGCTAAATTCTGACTTACGCCCCTAACTGACGACTTTTTACACAG